ATGAGAACAGACATTCTGAATAAGATGGATTTCCTCCGTCCCCAAGGGCGGTCGTCCATGGGAGATTGGAGTGTTTTAACTCTTAGTGTTGTTGCCTTGACTTATCAGTTCGGAAGAGAGATGGAGTCTTCAGACACGCCCATGAACCTTTAAGTTTTTGTGAATTTGTTCATTTCACCCCACATCATACAACTCAAGTCTTTATTTAGAAAAACTAAGTTTTGTGCAATGAGTGGATGCTTCATCCCAATTATTCTCATTAATAACATGATAGTGGTGGAAAATGTATTAGATCTTTTTTCATGAGAAAGCAGTATTATTCACCCCAACATGTAGAGCCATGAATTAACAGAAGCAGTTTATCTAATGACAAAGTGCACCCACTACATCAGATATTGTCATAATCGTGGGATAAAAACCAGCATAAGCACAATAGGCAGTGTCTTTTCTCATTAATGTTAATGGCACATAAACTTCCCACGCGCACGCTACCTAATGATAGCACCGAAGTGGGGTTTTTAATGCATGGCTGTTCATTTTTCTAACAAAAATAAAGCTGGCATGGATTAAAAAAATTATTGTGGCTCAGAAGAGGTATAATTGTGGGAGGAGTGCAATAAAAAGTAAGCCCTTAACTTAGCCTCTGTAAACAGCTGCAAGCTCAATTACAGTGCCATTTTCAGGTTTTTTTTTGCTAAACACCAGTTAAATCAAGAAATGAAGATTTGAGTTTTCAGAACTAAACATGGTTTGGAGACGTTTGGGACGGAAATAGCACAGGCTTAAATCAATCACACCAAACTTTAATCAAGTAAAGTTACAAAATGCATCCAGTTTTCAGGAGAAAAAATGAAAACATCTTTATTCAGATTTTTGATAACCTTTATGTACCTTGAAATTAAAATACATTTAAATTGACTGTACTGTAAGTATGGCAATACATACACACATATAAACATGTATGTGGTGCATTTTCGTATGTATGCTGTATATCATTAGCAAATGTACAATACATACAGCTGTGTGCAAGTTTATTCTCTGTACATGTATATGAAAAGTGAAAATTCAAATTGTTCAAATCGTTATGTTGTCCACCTCATACTTGCATGTAAAACTGCAAGTGCACATACATACACATTAACATGCGCACTACAACAGCTGACAAAGGATTAAAGCAATTTGTTATGTCTCAGCAAATGAATTTACATTGGAGACCTTGTAGAAAACCTACACAGTCCACAACACTTCAATGAAAACATGGCATTGCAAATAAACTGTACGTCAGTACTGTATGTGCAGCCTAACTTCATTTTTGCCCTCAAGGTGCCTTTTTTTATTTTTTTTTCTGTGACTTGTATTTGACAGTGTAAAGACAGTCTTTTTGAGGTAGACTGCTCAGATTCAAGGGCAAGCATTGTTTTTTTTTCTTTTTTGTTGTTTTAACTTTTAATCCACAAATGCATGACATTCAAAATGACAGGACATAAGTACTACATGTACAATATGTAGTAATGAGGTAGAAATGGTTATAAAGAATGCCAGACTATAAAACTACATAAGGATGGAATCAAAATCTTAAGCAGTTCTCTACAAATGTAAATACAGAAATACTGACAGATTTTGAAAAAAATCAAACAAATAATGATTCAAGTGACTGAGTCAGCATCGCTGTCAGACTCCATGTGCTTTTCAAAGGTTCTGCTCAAGTGTTGCTTGTGACTCTAGGCTCTTAGATCGCATCACCCTCAATAATGAATGACTGGTTTTTAATGATAACATCTACAGCATGTGAAATATACACCATTAATAATTGTTTTCCTCCTATCTGTCTTTTTACTGTCGAGTTGTGATAAAAAAATTAAATAAAAATAAATAAAAATGCAACTTTTTGTCCGTGTGCTGTCCGTTGCACTGTGCTCTGTTTCACTAAAGCATATATCTGGCAAGATGTCCATTGTTGTTTGAGTGATTTTAAGTACTCCTTGATGTGAGTGGAGCATTTCCCCTTTTTAACGAGTTCATGAACAGTCGACCTCTCAAACTCTAGAAATCTGTGCTTGTTAATGGCACTTAGGGCTTCTTATCAAATCCTTGTCAAAAACCTCGCAATGAACAAAATTACTTATTAAAATCATGTAATCATGGACACATTTATATTCTGAGAAAACACTGAATGATATATGACATTTTCTGCTAATATCTGTGCTGCTTTTCATTTCAGAAAAAAAACAAAAGAGTCATGTTTCTATATGAGAGAATTACTGTTCATTAACTCTGACATGTTTCACAAAACTCACACATTGAAGTTAACTTTTATATAACTCTTGAAGTTATAATGTTATACAATAACTTAGCGATGTCCAATGACACAGCTATAACATGTCCAATTCAAAATGTCCACAATTTACATTTGCGTCAGTGAAATTTATAACTTCATCAAAAGTATTTTCATCATATTCAAAAGAAATATGTTATGCTTTGGCTTCAAGACAAAAGATGCGACTGTAATAAACACCTCAAAGTGCGGTAATTGATGACACAATATTTAAGGTGGAGTTTTCTGTTCATTTCCTTTATTACTCTACAGTGAAAGTGTAAACAATGCCTTTAACATGAATATTGGTCTAATTTCATGTCAGTAAATGTTGTTTTAATTTTATTGTAACCTCGTTTTACGTTTGGTGTTTATTATCATTAAGTCTTGCTATTCCAAGACTCCCCCAAAACTCCAAAGTAAAATAAAATAAGGATTCATATTTAACACTGATGTCTATTTTTGTAACACACAACTTCTTTAGTGGTGAATGTTTTTAATTTGGCAAATAAATGGATCCTGGCTCTAGAAAAATCGGATTGTGTTGGGTTGTATTACCATGTAAGTTGTGTGCATTCAATGAAAATGATGCCACTTATTTTATGACTGCAGGTAATATACATAAATATATAACCCAATTGTTGTAAAGCCTAAAAACAACATATTACTGTTGGCAACCCTGTCAGCTGTCTTTGATGCTTTGTAGTTTTTCTGCTGTTTGCTCAGATTATCTGGAAACATCCCAATTCAGGTCTGAATTAATCAATATGCACATTATGTAATGACAATGATATAAAGAAGTGTTAAAATATGTGCAGTAGACAGCAGACATGACGGTGCCTCTGCAGCATCATCCACATACAGTGCTCTCTACTTCAGTGGCATTTGTCATTGTGCAAGTGCTTTACTTTCCTTACTGCTCAGAGGACATAATACATTCAATACTTTTACTTGCCAATTCAGCTGTCGTCGGAGACTTTGCATGAAAAACTGTACTGATTAATGGCAGCGCGACGTGATAAATGACACTGGAACACTTTAAACATGAAGAGAAAATAGACAAAAACATAACAGTTGCCTTTTGTGTTGAGACGAGCCTTCGAGACGTGTTCTTAAAAAGGAATGCCACTCAATTCATGAATTCTGCAGTTACAGCTGAGAAGGTCAAAGCAATTCTTCTACATTATATTAAACTAATGGAATTGGTTTAAAGCAGGGAAATATGTGTGTGGCATCATCATAGATGCTCTCACAGATTCAGGGGCAAAAGAGACAACGGCAACATGATCCACTGGTGGGTGTTTGCTAACAAAGACCAAATTGTCCTAAGGCAAAGGCATTGTGTTTACCAAACCTGATATTCAGTGGTATTCCCCTTTAAGTGCATCATGTGGTGAGATATATTGGGGCGTAATCAAAATGTAAAGCTAATAGATTTAGCAAACAGCACAATGCAGTTCGGTGCAGAATAGGTGCTGACATTTCGCAGTCTTTGTGAATTTGTTTTTCAGAGATAACTAACAAACTGAGGTAGAAAGGAACTTAGGCGATACATAATCCTTAGGTTTCATTAATGATAAAACAGCAGCAGGATGGAACGAAATAGCTCAGGGCAAGTTGTCTTCCTCAACCCCAAGATGTTTGTCTGCACTTTATTTTTTTCAAATTTCTCTCGAGCTCTGTGTCACCACAAGCTGAACGGCCGTTTCTGCAAACAGCAAACTGAAGAACAAGATCATTGTACGTGATGGAAGCGAAGGTTGGACCCAACAGGAAATATAACTCAAACAGAAATGGCCTTGAGGCTACAATTCAAGATACACAATGGTTCAATTCTTTTCACAGGCAAATCTCTAATCATGATACAGCTTTCTATTTCAAACAAATCCAAATGTAAAGCACCCCTCGAAAAAACGTACTTAAAATACTCTCATACATTCATCATATGAACCTTCTGATGTCATTTTAAGCTATTTGAGGTATTATATAGCCTTACATGGTTTGTTGGTGGATGTTTAAATGCAAGCCAAATGCTCTTGTAGTTTGTAATGCTTTGACACAAGCTTATGAGGTACTGTACATATCAATATCACTTTCCTGAGTTTTCAAATCTAGAACAAAAATGGTAGAATTTACATTTACGCGAAACACTGTGAATTACTGCTGTAACAATATTTTAACAGCAATTACATAGTAATTTATTGTTTAACTCGCAGTCACATTGTAAAATAATATTTTTTTTGTAATTTCATCTATAGTGGAGAAGCTAGTGAAGCATAACTGTAAATTTGCAAGAAGACAAATGTCAATGTTATTGTAAGCAAATGATTTACATTTACATGAAGACCTGTGTAAGGTGATGAAGCCCAATGGAAACTGATGGCAATAAATTCAGTTTACCTCAAAACAACCACAACTGTTCACAGAGAGCACGAAACGGACACAGCTGCATGACGCGGTGCAAATGGAAAAGTAAAAAGCAAGTTTTAAGATTTTTGTCTCATTTTAAAGCTTTTATATTAGCACATGTCACCAATGAAGATTGTGTGGCAAAAAACCAAAACCAAATTAAAAACAGCACCACCTCAGGCACTTGATAGCAACTAAATCTCAAGATCAGCAGATTACTATATACATATATATATTTGAATATATATATGTATATATGTATATACAAAAACGGGGGTATCTTCTACAAGTCTTTTGAGTTTTAGTGAGCAGATGGCTTAAGCCACGTAAAGCATTTAATTAATTGTTACAAATATGTGGTATCCAGATATGCATCTGTCTTTTACTGACAATCCCTTTACTCTGTGTTAATGTCCCCACTGTTTATTTGTCTTGTTCACTGAAGGCCAAATACTTATTTGTATTTAATTATTGGTTTTAAAGAAATCGTGTTTGATGGGTCTCTTTCACTGACTACAACCAAACATTTTATTCCACTCAGTGTACATGTCAAGTTCTTTTTGTGATATGCTAGGCTGGAATTTGCAGAACACATTGTCAAAGTCTTGGTAGGAGACCAGTCTCATCTGACTGGGATGGATACTTGACAGGTCAGCACCAGGAATGCCATGGAGAGGACCTACTACAGCCTCTTGACACAGCTGGGCCACGTCCAGTCCTGAAAATCCCTCTGTCCTCTGAACCAGTAGTGACATCTCTTTGTCACTAAGACAGTAGTTGTTCTGTGAGAGCAGTTGGCTGATTATCTGGTGTCGAGCCGTCCCATCAGGCAAAGGGATAAGCAGTCGCTTGGTAAAGTACCTCCGAAGGGACTCTGGGATCTCTTCCGGCTTATTGGTGGAGCAGACCACAAGGACATGGTCCTCAGCAGAGGTCAGAATACTGTCAAGCTGCATGAGGAGCTCAGCCTTGAGGCGATTCACCGGGCTCTCCTCACTGAGCTGGGCAGACAGCAGCAGGTCCACTTCACTGATGAACACCACAGCCGGCTGGCGGCACTGGGCCACCAGGAACGAAGCCTGGATGATCTTATCCCCTTCGCCCAGCCACTTAGTCACCAGACTTGAGCTGCTGAGTCGCAGGAAGGCAGCCCCCAGTTGGCTAGCCATGCATCGGGCCAGCAGCGTTCTACCCGTTCCCTGAGGTCCAAATAAAAGGAGGCTTCGAGGTAATGTGGCAAGTCCACTAAACATATCTGGCCTTAAAATGGGCCATAGTATCTCCTCTTTAATGGCTGCTTTGACCATATCCAGACCTGCAATGTCACTCCAGTCCACCGGAGGACCGTGCTGAAGGATTTCCGAGGTTACCATCTCCACCAGGTTGGAATCACTGTTCTTAAGTTGCTCCTCTGCAGCGTGGATGGACGAGGTAGCCGTACCGATGTCAGGCCCTGTTAGTGAGTGAGAGAGGTGCTGTCTGTGCTCTTCAGTTTGCTCACTCATGATGGGAGATCCAAACTTGCTGTAGGGCTCTCCGGTTCTGAGGTCCCCCACAGAGCTTTTGGTTGATCCATAGGATGGAGGGGTTAGTGCTCTGCCAGGGTGCATGTTAAATTTTCTTTGTTGATCAGAGGACATTGGCTGCTTGGTTGGCTTGAACGCTAAAGAGGAAGCTTCAGCATTTCTCTCAAAGCCATTGCCCCTGTTTGAGTCTGACACACCACTGTCCGTTAGTCTGTACATTGGGCTCTGTGAAGAGCGCTGTTGGTTGTAGTTGAAATTACCATAGCTGGAGTCCATATCTCCATGTCCACTCATGTAGAAAGCTTTTCGTTTTAATGAGTTGGATGTGCTGCCATTCAAAGGTGTTGGTGCAATCGGCGTATGATTATGGGACTGGTAGGTGTAGCCCGGCAGTGTGGAGGGGGGGATTGGTGTTGGAGCGGCAATACCGGACGGCAGATAAGCAGAAGGAGGGGGTGCTCCCCCAGGGCTATAACCAGGGCCAACAGCAGTCTGGGAAGGATACCCTGTTGGAGGATAATTGTAGTTGGGAAGGTTTGGAGACCCGGCGCTGTAGCTCGGCACTAAGGTAGGGGGAGGAGGTGGGGGCGGTGGTTGTAAGAGCCCAGCGCTGTGCAAAGGGGAAGGGTGTGGGGAGGGCAGGGCTGGGGTATTCTGGCCACTGTAGCTAGAGTGTAGGTAGGAGCCGTTGTAGCTGGCGGTATATTCCTGAGAGGGGAGGCCCGAGTGGAGAGTAGTGGCTGTGTGGCTCCCACAGTTACTGCTGGAATAGCTAGGCTCAGACAAGCTGCTGGCAACCCCTGGGGAGCTGCCTATGCTAGCCGACACATCTGTAGGGGGTAGGGCAGCTGTCATTCCAGCTTTGCTCACAGATATAACATCTGGAGCACAGTTCATTGCGTAAATCCCCTCCTGCCAGGACTCATTCTCTGACTTTCGTCCATTCATGAGTCCGGTGGTGCTATCGGAGTAGGAGCACAGCAGGGCTCTTTCATTTGGGCCCTCTAGGATCCCAGAGTACTTCTCTGCATATTTCTTGAGCAGATTGGAGGCAGTCAATGCAGAGATGTCATCGTTTGCCCATGCATACTGGTACGTTCGCTGTAAGTGCCCCCGGTAGGCCTCTACTTTGTGTGCTGGTGAGCGGGTAGTGGATGAGATGTCAAAGTGTTGCTCTGCCCATTGTGTGTGCTCTGGGGTCCACTGCATCTTTAGACCTAGATATTCCACATAAGGGAGAAATAGGTCAACGTATGCATCAAATCATGGCTCATAATCATTCAAAAATAATATTTTGATGTTGTTTAAATGCTTTATAATAATACAGAAAGTATTGCAATAAGAAAAGCTCATGTTTTTTGTAATTGCTTGAAGACAAGGTGGGAAATTACAAAGAAAAAGTTGAAAATATATTTAGATTTTTTTTATCAGGAGAAATAAGACAACTTGCATCCTAATGTCCAAATGTTTGCAATATGACAAATAGACAGCACTGACTGAACACACGTCACTGTCAATGTACAGATGTGGGATCTAACACCTGGTTAGCGCGGTATAATCCACCCAACACAGAGCCGAATGACACAGACATTGCAGGTCAGTCTATAATCCAACTCTCATCTGAGGCATTCTGAGACAGTTTCAAATCTGCTTGGAGGAGAGCAGCAAAGCAATCTTCCTTGGCAGCGCTCCGTTGCTTTCATCACACAAACCCCTCAGCCCAGCATGAATTACATCCACATCCAGTCTGCCTGCTGCTTCCTCGTCCACAGAGTGAGAGAAGAGAGGAAAAGAAAACATGCTTCACTTGTCTTTTTCTCTGCGGTCTCTTTATAAGGGTTTGAATGACATAAATAATCATGTTAAATCCCAAAGTCAATCTGCAAATAAAAGTTTTTGTAACACACGCTGTCATGTTTTACTCTGTTTGGGATTATCAGTGGATGTATATACCCCCGAAGAATGTGGACTATTAGAGAGATTATGGCTCAAAACAATCAGAGATAGTCTGCAGAGCCTCACAAATCTTAAATCAACACTAATCTCAGCAAAAGCTACAAGATAATGTGAAAGAGAATTTAACCAAGCCTTCTCCGGCTCTTACACTGGTCCTTGGCTTCGCTATGAGCAGGCGCTTCACTGCTATACTTCATACTTGAGTGGGTTCAGTCCATATCAAAGGATTTAGGCAAAGGAAAAAAAACAGCGACTGTCCAGAGGCAGAGCAGATTCCCTTCCGACTCCCTCCCAGCAACTTGCCCACCCGCCACACTAGACACCAGGAGCTAATTAGCAGGATGATGCTGCACTAATTGTGTTAATTTACAAGGTTTTAGTCAAAGAGATCCATGCTATGGCTCTCACATGGTTGTCAGCCATCCAAGCTAATGATTAAGAAAAAAAGTGTGAGGCAAAAAGCCAGAGCAGACAAATATATTGGCCACACTGTGCTGGAACAGACAGGTTCATCAAACTGCAGGAAACTAATGCGATTATCACATTAATGACAAAGAATTTAAGAATAATTTTCAAAAGTTCAAGAGCTAATTTATTACCTTATTTTTCACCCATGTTTGTTTGTAAGAAAGATTATTCAAAAACTACAGATTACCATGAAATTTGAATTTTTAGTGTGGACCAGATCAGGGGGGTGGGTCCAGGAATTCTTCTACATTTTTTAAAACATTTCTCACAGAATAATTTGTGGAACTTGATTAAAAACAATCAGGCATACTTATGGGACTGGTGTTTATGAGTGTGTGTAGTTTGATGCAGTTCCAATTGAAAATCTAATGAATTTAAATGTGGCTTCATAAGGGGACTGTTGGGCCGTGTTAGTATACGCATAAAAAATGAACCAAAATTTACCATAAAGCTTTAAACACACATGCACCCTTTTGTTGAAACTACAATAAAATATTTTTTTTACAGATTCCCAAACATCTCAATTGAACATTTCTCCTCATTATGCCAGAGAAAAAATAATTCTTCAAAACTACAGCAACTAGTGGTAAAATATCTGCCAAAACAATGTTAGGCATTCACATCATTTCCTGACAACTCAGGCCAAGTATCAGGATAATGGTTTCTGTAAAAATCACTCAGTCCTGTTCAGTCACACTCGAAGCACATTTTTTCAATAACAAAATTGCACACGGCTTATTGAGTGAGATTCTTGTATTACTGTTAATCCCCTCCACCACTTTGGACAATCAAAGAAGTGCTGCTTGCAAAGTGTACTTGAGATCTGAGCACCAGGTATTTCACAGAAAGGACGATATCAAGATGATTGTCTACATACAGCTCGCTGCTAAACACAGCCTGAGAAAGACATGCACTGTCAATATAGAAAAAACTGTAATAAGCAATTCTATTCATACAGATCAATACTTGCAGACAATGATACAAGTCAGCACAGTTTATATTGTTAGGTTTTGTAAAATGATTCAGCGCATCAACCAAATTTCTCTTAATGGGTATAAAGCAAACCATAGTGAATAAGAATCACATTTAAAATAGTGTAGTTTAAATGAAGATATATATATATATATATATATATATATATATATTGTAAATACTTTTACTTATAAATATGGTGTATACTTTTTATGGTGTTGGTCAGTACCTTTTTTTCTACTATATTATTTCACATGCTATAGTATAGTACAGCCTGAACCATCCACTGCTATATTTTAAGTATTTTTGTACGATTCTATAACGTGTTCAGTTTTGTTCTTGTCCTTATCCTCAACCCTATAGCTGTATTTCTATGTGAGTGCACTGTTGTTAAAAACATGTTTACACATACTAAAGCAAAATTCTGATATCCGCAGTGTAATAACACATAAACACACAGAAATGCACCAATATGTACAAAGACACGCACACAGCCCAATAGCATAATGATCTTGTACTTTGGCTTTACTTACATAGAAATTCAAATACAACATTCATAATTTTCTGTGAAATGGTGCGATTGCAAAGCGCTCTATTAGTGGAATGTTTTCAGATAGCCTTGGGGCTCAAGTACAAATTCTTTTCATTAGCCACCAACAAATAAGTTCTGTGTCCGTTTGTCCATTCACAGGTCTGAATGATTTTTGATGGTAAACTCAAGATCATCAAAGAAAATTATTTTTTGTCCAAAGTGCATCCAGTCTTTATAGTTACATGTTTTTTCTTAAAGGTCAACTCAGATCTGAATGAGCGCTCTTTGAATGTAATAATTTGAGAGAACACATATCTGTCCAGCACAAAAAAACAGTAGTAATGCCACTGTAATAGTGATGTACTGGCAATGTATGTTATACATTCAGTATTTCATACACAATCTCTCAGTCATTAAAGACAAGAAGACCATCAGGTGCAGATGAAATGCAGGTGGCATACGATGCCAGGGTGTTACGCTGCGCTCTGGTGTTTAATTTCTGGTTCAGTGATCATCATCGATGAAACAGAGATGCTGACCTTTTTGGGGAACTATTAATCTGGTAGCCTCGGCCGTTTTTAAGCAAACAAGAGTGGGCCTCCACTCTGTCCATCCAATTTCCCAGCGAGTAAATTGGACCGCCGCTTGCACAATTCTCTATTCATTACTGTGCTGCTGAAAGGAAGCACAGAGGTGGCAGAGCGGTTTTCTTTTCCTTTTTCTGTGTATGTGCATGTGTGTGTGTGTGTGTGTGTGTGAGAGAGAGAGATGGAGAAAGAGAAAGCAAGAGAGCAAAATGCCTTCCAGGAGGATTCCCAAGCATACAGAGCTGGACTTTTCCTTCCTCTTTTTTTTGGTTTGGGGGAGGGGAAGGTGGGAGGGCCGGGGGAGAGAGGAGGAGGGGAGTGAAAGCTGTCGTAATTGAAACGTGGCCTAATCAGGCTCATTACCATTTTTACCAATTTGCACCACCAAAGATGCCTATTAGTTAACTGTGTTTAATAAGCCACTCTTTAAAAAACTAACTGTAATGAGCTCTTTAAAGTCAGACTTGAGCGTGATTATGCACTGGAAGTGTTTTGCCTGAGCCAAAGCAGCCTGGTGCATTTAGACATGTACAATGTCATAATTAAGCTGCACAAACTCTTCACTTCACTCCACACAATGGTACCAGCTGAGGCAGTAGACATGCTGAAAAGTATTTATAATTACTGATCATTACAACCCTGGGATTTTCATCTCCCGATGTAAACATAATTATAGGAGCTTTCGCTTTTATTCCGCACACAAGGACCACTCTACTTGACAAGCGTGCAAATATTGCAGACAGACGGTAATTACACTTATAAATAAAAACAAGCTCATATTCATATTCAAATCCACCGCAGATATTCTAAGTAGGGGTGGAGCGAAACATTCTAATGCATTGTGAAATGGTAATCAGCCCAGCTACTGAGTCCCATTCATCTCACAGATCAAGTTAAGACTATTTAAACTCAATTTAGAGCTTCATGTGGCAGTAATTCCAATCTTTAGATGGCAGGGTGCCATTTAACCCCTCATTTAGAAAAGATATGCCTTCCTCAGTCACTGTCTTTTCCAGGGCTACCGCCCATACATTACAGTCTGACCACCCAATGCAACGCACTACTAAGTCTCCACACTATCCAATAAATCCAGTGGATATTACAGTAATCCCAATATGAAAGGTGGAAGAAAATGACTATATAAACAAACAGTCATAATATGATTATTGTAGTTTACAAACTGTGTAACTACAATGCATGTCAGTCCAAAGTGATTTTGATCATTTAGTTCACTCAAACTTTAAACTATCTGATAATTTAGTCATAAACAACTTTTCCTATGGCAGAATATTTCAGATGAGACTTGAACTAACATTTGCTTATGTTCATACTGATTATCTCCTGTTTATATCCTCTGTTACTGAAAACATGCCACAGTTGAAATAACTTGAGATGATGAGTGAAACATGAATTGATGATTATGTTCAGTGAAAGTGAGTCAGATAGGATACAACTACAAAATATTAGATTTAGGATTAACCAAAAAACATCTGAAAGTTTAGATAACAAAGTCGTGAATGTTTGGATCTTTTCTTCCCATTCAATCTAAATGTATGAAAAGGATAAAGACAAAAAATGTGTTGCAAATACGTGTGGAGAGTTATTAAACTACATCTTAGTCTTTATACGTGTACACAGATTTTAGAATGTGTGCAAGTATCTTTAAGTGTATATATTAATGTCTACATAAATCTGTAAATGT